ACACAGTAACAATCTCCCCATCATATTGAGCTCAACACTTCCTCGCTCATACAGATCCCATCCGGGGTACTGACAGAATGCATCGGCAATTGGTCACGTGTATTCATTCGGCAACCTATTTTTCCCTCTGCGGCAAGCAATGACCTCATACCGTTGACGATCAATAGCCGGCCAGAATTCCTGACATAATCATGTCGCCTATTGAAGTTACTGTTTTGGGTATCCAACAGCCGATCTACTGAAACCGAGATTTGTGAGAACGAGACGTAGAACTGGGTACTTGGATGCTTTATCAACTTCTTACTCTGTATATTGTTTGTCTATCTTGATGAGCATCAGCATTGATGCGATTTCGTGACATATGCTTTGTCGACAAGGGTACTTGTCGATCTGCTCTCGGTGTTACTTTTCCCGAGCCACCCAAGTTGGTTGGGATTGTGGACGGACGGTCTCGGGAAACTTTGCCCGGGTATAACGCCTTGTGACACCTTGCTCGGATATCATAGATGCGGGTCGTTAAGATCGAGTCGGCCGATATTCCGGAATGGATATGCAGCCAGAACTCTAGTTGGAGAACTGTGTTGCTGTTCGGTGAGATATAAGGTTTAGGCCGCTAGATTACCGGGAAGTACGCAGTACTGACCGTACATCAATGAAGTTAGGTACCTTAAGGAGTTAAAATGCAAACTAGATTCCAGACCTAGATGGTATCCTCATACAAAGCGGGTATGGACATTGTATCTCATCAATCCATCCATGTCACACTCTTGGTGACAAGAAACTCTTCCAGCCCGTGAGCAGCGTTGAACCGGCCCCATCCACTGTTCTTCACACCACCGTGTGGCAGGACGGGTTCGTCATGAATAGTCATACTGTTGATGTGTACGGCACTGCAATCTGTCAGTATTGTAGAGGGACTGATATGGTACCAAAGATACTGACCCGGATTGTATCTTCTTGGCAATCGCCAACCCCTTTCTCAGATCTTCGGTGAAAACCGCCGCGGACAATCCATAGCCACTGCCGTTGGCGATGCGAATCGCTTCCTCGTCGCTGTTGACCACCATGCATGCTGCCAGCGATGCAAAGGCTTCTTCCTGCCATACCTCCATGTCTTCCTTCACGCCTCCAAGAAGTACCGGCGCCATGCGCACACCCGATTCTCCCACTGTTTTGTCAACTGACCCGTGGATGAGGTGAGCGCCTGATTCGAGAGCCCTGTCGACCATGCCCACCACACGCGTCTTGGAGGCGACGTTGACCAATGTCGGAGGCGGGGCAGAGGGATCGAGGTTCGATCCGAGGGCTTTCTTCAACGCATCCATGAACGCCGGCGCAATGGATGAGTGAATGAGGATTCTGTCAGTGGACATGCAAATTTGGCCAGACTAAGCCACAGGAGTTAGCTTATGACAGCAAAGCGTACGTATGAGGTAGTCGTGAGGGTTCATACGTTCAAGAACGCGCCCGCCAGAACCGCCTTGACAGCGGTTTCAATGTTCGCATCTTCGCAGACAATAGCGCTATTCTTTCCTCCCAGTTCCATTAAACAGGGTTTCAGGTTCTGGCCACATGCACGAGCAATCTTGCGCCCCACAGCCGTGCTACCGGTGAAATTGATCTTTCGGACAGCCGGGTGCTCGATCATAGCATTGACAACTTCGGGGGCGTCTTGAGGACGGCATGATATGAGGTTGAAGCAGCCCGCAGGCAGACCGGCATCTGCGAACGCACGTGCGATTGCCCAGTATGAACAAGGGGATAGTTCTGAGGATTTCAGAACGGTGGTGTTACCGGCCGCGAGTGCGCAAGCCGCGGACCGAATGCCGAATACATACGGCGCGTTCCTTTGTCATGGAAGCTGTTAGCGCGGGCTTGTAATATAGTCACCACAGACTACCGGAGCCTAGTGGTGCTGTATGCCAACCTACCATGGAACAAGTCCCAGAATCACACCCATAGGCTCCTTATAAATGATCGCACTCTGGCCCTCCTCCTCAACAACCGGCACACTTCCGCAAATCGAAGTGATGCGCCCAGCAATCTCCCTCAGCATGCGAATACCCAGTGGGACGATGAAGAACTGCGATGCGCCGACATCAGCACCCATCTCGGTGCGCATATACTCGGCATTCTGGACCAGGCGACTCTCCAGTATATCCGCGGCCTTGAGCAGGATGTCCCTGCGAACGGTCGGCTTGGTCTGCGACCATGCTGGGAAAGCGGCCTCGGCGGCCTCGACCGCGCGCAGGGCGTCTTGGGAAGTGGCACTGGCTGTAGCCCAGCAGGGTTTGTTGGTGTAGGGGCTGATCACGTCAAAGGTTGTAGGGGTGACTTCCTCCTTGCCGTTGATAATCAATGGAATCACGGAGGGAGGGGCAGGTGCGCTGCTTTCATCGTTCGAGGCCATTTTCTGGGATAGTAAGATCCTTAGATCCTAGTGACGAGAACTGTTCCTGGGTTGATAGGCCGATTGACGACGGTGAACATAACTTTCTCGACTCGGGATATAATTGAATGGGAAGACTGAACGAGACAGGCCGAGTGAGGGGAAGGGACCAGATACCTATCGAAAGTAGCACAGAACTAAACCAATAATATTATTATACTATGAGAGTGTACCTTACGCTAAATGGTGCTCCAACTCGGCTATTATTCATGGCTCTTGAATGTTCCTCTTTTGTTCACAAATAATGTCGAACATAAAACTCACTGTAGATCTCAATACTCCACTTTGATGCAACTCAATTCGACAATGGCCAACACAGTGCACTTCCCTTTTTACGATTTCATTATTAACTGAAAGTGACGCCATGTTCCACTGTAGATTCTTTGTAGATAAATGGCAATAAGGAATGGTCTTAAATACCCATATTTGTGTCTGCATATCATCCTAAAAGAAAAAGTATAGTCCCTCGAGGGAATGTGGTAAAACACGTGCTGGAGCTTGAGCATGATCAACTCTCCAATGTTTGCTTTTTCCCCTGTCTCCCACATGGACGTTTTAAAAGTGGCCAGAAAAGCGGTGGCAGTTGAGGCCAGCGCTGATCAGGAACAGTCTCGGTATCTCACAGACGGCAAGACATTCTTCTAATGGCCGATAGATTAGATTCCACACTATTGAATCTTGAGGAATATGTTTTAGAGACTCGAAGTAAATCCATCAACCAAGCATCAGCCACCACCCGGGCTTCTCTTTCTCTTCCTTCTTCAATTCGATTAACTCTCAATTAACCTTCTAGAGTATTGTGGGCGTCGATCTTGCCGGTCAATCCATGGCTCTGAGCAAATGACGGGCTGCTAAACTCGGGTAGTTCGACCCCGTTACCCACACCGAATGGGGTGATGGCGTACGTCGTTCGCCGACTGCCAGGGAAGGAGCTGTCCTGGTTCACTCAAGCATAGCACCAAGCGAATGAGAACCGTGAACAGCGCCAAGGCTCAATAGACGTCCCGCTTAGTGGAGCCAAGCACTTGAGGCATTCATAAATATCGCATCATTTCGTGATGGTGGGGCAGAGAGGACAATCGAATAATCGATGTCTGCGGTCGAAAGCGCTTTTTCCAGATGAAGAGATGATTGTCTTCTCGACAGGCGACATGGGATCAGATGGACCTGACTACGACCTTGGTATTTGCAAAGTTCTTGAACGGATCAGTGGATAACATCATTAGAGACTATTGATTCTCTTTTTTTTTTTCTCCCCTCACAGATTGCAGATCATCAGCTTCATGGATGGTATCAATTTGCATCAGGGCCAAGCCGATCTGAGTTTTATCTCCCGGACAGGAGCAAATGCAACCTTTTTAGGAAAGACGACGGCCTTCCTCCCAAAGCAGCAGCACCTTATCATCCCATGTGGTAAAATCACACATCAGAGTGTGATGTCGGAATCAATGGTCAGACTGACCTAGCACAAGCATCCCTAGATGACTGTGCAATTTCCAGCCGTCCAGCACCATTCTGATGTCGGCCAATGGCAATTTTGTGGGAAGAGGTAGAGTTTGACATGCATGCCAATCTTTTAGATCCCGGCGCCATGAACATGGCTCGGCATTTGATTTCCTCAGCTCGACAACAGGGTCCATCATTTCCCATGAGAATTGCGTTGTTCGAAAAGAAGAAGCGTATCTACGAAGTCATAGGGTTGTATCAGACTGCGGGACGGGTGTTCTGAATTCTGGATGGATTTTCTACTCGCTTGATGATCTTCCTTCCCCATGCAGCAGTGGAGCCAATATTTTCCACTGCCACGAGGGTGCGTGGTTCCTGAGTTCTTAGTCTCGATGAAAGCGACGGTTCAAGTTGCCTTCCAAATCAATAATCCACCAATTCCCGAGAAATGTGACTCTGTCACAGGCCATGCCTTGCTCATCCCCACTGCTGAGTTTCTGTCGAGCCCAGTCACAACCGTGCGTGCACCGTGGAGGGTTGAAATCTGCTCTGATCTAGTGATTTCATTGCCTTATACAGTGCATTTACTTGATTTCCTACAGGATATTGGACCACATTTGCTGTGTGTGCTCGTCCATGGCAAGTGGATCGTCCTTGCAAATCGCTAACAGCCACCCAGATCAGGAAAGAGATGATGCTGCAGTATCTTGTTGGTTCCTGACGATCCATCTGCACACCTCTGCTCCATTCACTTAGTACTACTGCCACTACCCAATATGAGATAGAGTACATAAAACATGGTGCACTGTCTTCTCCCCGGTTACTTTTGTTCCTTTTCCTCCCAAGATCTCCATCTTCCTCCAGCCTGCACACAGTGATATACGGCTGCTGCCTGTCCTGGAGTTATATCGTGTCATTGAACTCCCTCTTTTTTGTCGTTCCTTTTTATAGTGTGCCTTGCTTGATAGTCTTGTATGTCTACATAACGCGACTTCACTATCTGCCCTGACTACGGTCGTCCATTCCTTGAAATCACAAACCACAGATCGATCTTGGCTTCTACTGAAATTATCACTCTTTACCGGTCACCATACTCGACTCAAAAATGGCGATCACTTCTAGAGGACAGAGTATGATTGCCATTGTGTCGGTGCTAGTCGGCCTTTCGGTACTCGCGGTCATCCTCCGTGTCTCTGCGAGGATCAAACGAAGAGTCAAATTTGGAGTAGATGATTACTTATGCTTCTTGTCTATTGTTATGTTGATTGCCATGGAGATTGAATTAATTCTCTGTAAGTCCCATCTCGTCTAGGGCTTCACACCAGTGCTGACCACATGCGACAGGGGTTGTCATTGGAGGAAATGGGCAGCATCAAGCGGATTTGGACATGGAAACGATGATGAACTTTGGCAAGGTCAGTGACACAATTTACCTTGTCACCTCTTTCAAGCTGTCTTGCTGAGTCTTGCCGGTTAGATCTTCTTGTCGAATCAGTTCACCTACTTCATACTATGTCCTGCCATCAAGATCTCCATCGTCTGCTTCTATCGTCGGCTATTCAACACAAAAAGTTTCCAGCTAGTGACATTCGGTCTCAATATCCTCATCGCCAGCTGGGGAGCAGGTATTTTCCTTGCTTGTGCCCTACAGTGCCGTCCTCTCAGAGCGTACTGGGACAAAAGCATCGACGGTCATTGTTTCGACGGGAACGAGTTCTTCATCGTCAACCAGGCCTTCAACGTCATCATGGATTTCGTCATATTGGCCTTGCCCATTCCCATGATCTGGGGCCTACAAAGGGCATGGCAGGACAAGCTCGCCTTGAATGGCGTATTTGCCTTAGGTGCCTTTGTCTGCTTCGCTAGTATCTACAGGATCGTTGTGCTCTTCTGGATCAAAACATCCGATACGACCTTTACCGTCTACCAGGCCACACTTTGGACGCACGTCGAGCCGTCCATCGGGCTTATCTGCTCTTGCCTCCCTATCATCCGCGGGCTCTTTCCGAAACTCAAGCTGTCCGGTAGTCGCAAGACTACGGCTCCTTACTACATCAAAACCGACTACACTGGCTCGCACCTCGCCACTCTGTCCAGCCCGAAGTCCCCTGCGTCTGCCTACTTCAAGATGGAGGAGGGTCTCATTTCCCGAGCCACTAGCGATACCGAGGTCTCGCCGGACGATTACCTCAGCCCTAAGGACATTGCAGTTCGAACAGATATCAAGATCAGTCAGGACGCTGCGTCTCTCAGATCACAAACTTGATAACTTGTGATTCTTCACGCCGACATATAAGCAGTAAAGGAGAGTACTTAGCTCCTTACGAAGAACATTCGCAGACCAAGTTCTCCCGTCCTGTCCAACGTCGACAAACTAGGAGAGTCCTCTCCGGTGTTTCGCCGGACTGTGACACCCAGAACTACGCAGTCCACCTCTCCAGATAGCGAGGAATAGAAAATCCTCCCCCTACCTCACAGCTCCCGGTCCGGGCGCTCGATTTGTGAGGCTTTGTTGGCCCTGACGCGATCGGAACCAAATATTGCCCGACGCTGGTGGTTCACATCCCGCCAGAATGATCCTTACTCAAATGGGTACACTCCTTTGGTTGACAGTAACCTAGAAGCAGTATATACCCATCTATCTGTCACTGATTATTTCATCAACATTGGTTATTGTCCACTTCTCACGACTGTCCTTCATTGTCATGTATCTTGATACCCGCTAGTCCTTCGATTTGAGCGGACGGATGACCTTCGTTTACCTTATTCTGGTGCGTAGCAAGCCTAGAAGGTCTAAGACATAATATATTTAGCTTATTGGATGGGATTCTCTGAATATCTTTCAATAGAAGTGTAAATAATGCTGCTCGGATTCATTGTTCGTCAAGACACTCCCCGTTCCAGCGTTCTATCGCACCATCTGTCCCACAGCAAACTCCTAAACACCATTAGCCACCGGTTGTCTACCAGACTGAATGATCACATACCGGAAATGCGTCTGTAATACTAGCTGCAACCCGTTCCACATCCTCTGCAAGACCCTGCACCCCGGCATCCCACTGTCGGATATGTCGTCCCGTTGCAGTTGCCGACCCGCCCTCTCTCGAGTCAAAGTAGATCACACCGGCGATTTGGTCAATGCTACCGTTCAGTCGACCCTGCTCGACCATTCGCGCCGCGTAGGCCTCCGCCTTTTCGCCCGCCGTCATGTCCCCGCTCTCCTTGAGACCCAGTATCGCACCCAGTGCGTCCGTCGTGATGTTCTCGTAAAGCTTACTGGCGGCGACGAGGTTATGTTCGACAACAGCCTTGTCAAGCACTGTGGTGCCGTCCGCCGTCCGAGCCAATTGGTGTGGAGCTAATCGTTCAGAAAAGGCAGCAATCTCAGCTGGATCCAGGAGCCTATCCAGGAACATCTTTTCGAGAATCCCGAACTCCTCAACGGAAGTCGCACGGTCGTCCTTGTACAGCGTAGCGAGGATGCGAGAGCGTTGCGGTCCTGCCGGGGCAAGGACCGCACACCGAATCGCAGCAGCAAGCGCCTGTAGCCGATCGCTCTCGTCCACACCACCAGCCAAACTGACGTTGAAATATTCCTGGCTCGCTTCCAGGAACCGCCGTCGCGCATCGAGGATCCGGGCCTGAGATAGCTTGAAATGGAGCTTCAGCTCGTGGTCCTCGATCTTGCTAGGCAAGTTCTTGATTTTGTTCAGGAACCCCTCTGCGCTGGTCGTATCGTCCTCCTCCAGGTATAGTCGTACAATCCGGATCCATAGCCGCACCTTGGCAGCGTCCGAGACGAGTCTCTGCGAGCTGTCGATGTGGATGCCCTGTAGTGCCCGTGCGGCTGCCGCGTAATCCTCCTGGGACTCGTATGCGTCCGCGAGAATCTCGCGGATCTGGGAGTCCTGCTCCTCGACGGATGAGGAGCGAGATTGGAGCAGTGTTACTGCATGCTGGCCGACTTTAATCTGCGTTTCTGGGGTGAGTTTCTGGAGGACGGCGATGAAGGAATCGAGGAGCGGTCGGGCCGCTACGATGCTGATTTCTTCGCTGAGTACCGAGTCAAGATAGTAAATCAGGTCTTGGCCAAGCTCATGCTCGGATAATGTGGATGTGATCTCGGAGAGAAGGTTGTTGTACTGCTGAAGCTTGGTCTGTGGGTTGGTGGACGACTCAATCTCCGCGAGTGCGGAGGCGATCCTCTGAGATGCCATAAGGGAGTGCGTTCGCTGATAGATCGAAGTGCAAGCTTAATCTAGTCAATTAGCTGGTTAAATAGCAGTACAATTAGCGAGCAGATGTGAGAAAGAAAGAGCGCTTGATGGATTGAAGGTGACGCTTGGCACAGGGTGGAACTACAGAGCAGTTGATGGAGCTCTGCTTATCGATAAGGCTGGTTGTGCTGGAGACATACAACAATACAACATGTGGAGAGAGAACAAGGGAATCAGAATAGTTAGTAAACGTGGAAGATTAGAAATTCATAGCATACTATGACTCGACCTGAGGTAATTTGTCAGACCAAATTCTACTTTGCAATTTACTGTCCTATGTTCCATGGAGGCGAACCTTTTCAGTGTCTACCTCAGCTTTAGCTTTGTCAAAGCCCGTGTCTGTATCCATGTCCCTCTTCCGGCATTCTACAAAATACTGTTAAGGATGTTCTCTCCAAAGTCTCGCAAAATGCTGGACTCAAGCCGGACTGAACCATTCAGCCGAATTGTAACCAGGCTCCAGCACACTAGTATCCACTAAGCCAATGTCTTCGCGCTGTGACTCGCCGCGACATGAAGTTTTCGTTGACTCAATGATCAGCGAGATGGCACGCTCAGAGCCCAAGGCAATCACCGTCCACTGTATACACCAGAAGCCGAAGCACACAAGCAAGAAAACCATGAAGATCCTTTAGAATCGACTTGTGTCTCACTAAGCAAAAGTGTTCTCACAGCTGGAATCATCTCTCGTTGTGACAGGATATCAACTCGGTCTCAGAGGCTGATGCGACGGATCGTGGGAGCCTAAGTTCCATTCAAGATGATTGTCTCATCAAGAGACGCAGAGCCAGAATGGGAAAGGACTGCGGCACCTGAATAATGCATCAGAGGGAGTAGACAGGCGCAGTGCATTATTGCGGCTCGTTTGACCTTGATGCATAATAACCCTGCTCAATCCCTGGGAGCTCATCCATCGTGCTGAGCGGACTTGCGTCAGCTAGCCATGATAATCAAATACCGTAGTATATGCAATCCATGCTACTGCAAAGGACATTCAAATGAAGCTAGCTAATGGGTGGTTAATTGCTGCAATGTTAATCGAGGGGTTTGTTTTTGTGTCCTTGTGGTCGCTGGTCACAATAGCGCCACCGCCTTCGCGGACCCGCTCTTTGGCAGCTTCCTCTGCTCTCAGCGGCTGCATAGCGACAAGCTTCAACATCACGTCACTTGAGACTTTGAACCCCTATACAGGCCTTGATACGTTAACACATTTCTCACGATACACACGGTCGCATGATTTGATATTGCTTGTTGGAGGATTTTGAGAGTCACACCTTTGCTCGAGGACGATTCGGCATAATGTTTGCCCAGGTCAAGCCGGACCCAGACGCACCGACGCCTTACATCAAGTCCGACCCCGATAATAAAGATACTGTTCTTGCTGATATCGACGAGGATATTTATGATGATGATGGGGACCTAGATTTTTCAAACGCTGGGCAGAATGTGTGGCTTTCGCGCATTCCGCGATCGCTCTGGGAACATTGGGCGAGTCTCGACGATGATGAAGAGATACAGATTGGAACGATGAGAATAGAGGGACCGCCGAATGATATTAAACGGGTAAGCTCAGGAGATTTGAACCTCATTTCAGTGTCCTTCTCGTTTCTGGCTCGGTCGTAACAAGTGTTCTCTGTAGGTCAGTATTCGTCTCAATGAACGAGAAGACAATCGCGATATTCCCAAAGACTACATACTGCAGCGACAGACCATCAACACGGGAAACGTAACATCACATGCGACACAAAACACGTATCTGTTCACGGAAAAAGACGTACCTGGTCATGAAAATCGCATGGTGGTTTTCGGAGAAGCGCGGTCGGCATTATATGAAGCCATGAAGCGCGATGCGAGGAGGAAGGAGCGCAGGAAAAAATGGGAGCCATATGTGCGGCGAACGGTGCCTAGTACGTCTATATTATTCTTGGAGGTGAGAAACACTCTACTGACACTACAGCAGAACAAACCGCCCTCGTAGGAGGCGTCAGCGAAGAGTTTAATTGCCTCCCAGTCGAGAACGAGGAATTCCGACGATTGTCGGAAAAGAGAGCTCTCGAAGCACTCAAGCCCAAGCGCGAAACCGTTTTCATTGACAAGGTTCCAGGCAAACTACTTCAGGCGAGAAATGTGTTGCCTGGAGAGAAGGGCGCCTTTGTGGTATGTTTTGATTGGATTCAATTGACTTCCCCGACGGTTATACTAATGCGGAACGCAGCAAGCTACGAGGCCGCTCAAGGCCAAGGCCCAAGAGAACAAGACCACACGTATGCCGCAGAACGAACTACTGGATCTTATTTACCAGTGCTTCCGCGAATACAAATACTGGCCTTTTAAGACGCTCAGGGCGAGACTCCGACAGCCAGAGGCATATCTCAAGCAGACCCTGGAGATGGTTGCGCATCTGGTCAAGTCCGGCGATTTTGCCATGACCTGGGAACTCAAACCTGAGGCCGTGGAAAGCAACTATGCAAACGCACTGTCCTACGGGAATGCGAAGGAGGAGCTTCCTCCGGGAACCGACTACAACTTTGACGACGGTTCTGAAGAAGAGGCCAATGCATCTGGCATGGTTACTGATAACGACGAGATGAAATTTGAGGATGTTGTCTAAGAAGTGAGGTTCTGTAGCATAAGCAAGGTCATGGCGTTCTTTTGGGGTTTCTGGGGACATGTAAAGGACGTTTGGAGTCATCTACTCTGGTATCACATAGCTAAGATCCACCATCAGACTGGGTGGTGCAAGTGTGAATAAAATACATCAATCTCATCGTGTGACATAAAGCTAATCTGCACAAATTAACATTATCCTAAGCAATATCTCAAGGAGAAGTGAAAGAGCCACGAACTGCCACCCCTCAATAGTAGCGAGGACCAAAGCTCTCACGTGACCGTAATACCGCCACAAGCTGACCAGATCATGGACTTACCTTCCCCAGAATGACACAAGAACACTTAACTGCTCCTGCAACTTCCCATCGACTAGTAGAAAGATAGAGTCTTGAGCATATGTGCACAACTGATTTTGGCCTTTCTGATACAGCTAGACCAACATGACAGAAGACCAAGAGTTGATGGCTAAGATCAGCCAGTTAGCTGGTGAGCTTCCTCACTACTATCAGCTCATTTCCCTACCAGCTGATTCATTCTAGGCCAGATCAACAGGCATAAAAACCAGACACCTCAAGCACAGGCACAGGCACATCCTGATAGCGACCTTCATGCTGGTCCGTACGTGTCACGGCACACCCGCGCGCGCGCCGGGTGGGCGCCGTATCGCGGACGACCATATGGACGCGGACGCGCTGCAGCTCCCCATCGCCACCGTACTCTCGTCCTCAATAACGCGAACTCAGGGAACTCAGCCGGTTCGACGCCCGGACCAACAAAAGAGAATGTTGGCGAACCGCGATCGGTGACGCCGAACGGCTGGGTTGCGAAACGCGACCGTCATATGCAGTTGATCAACTCGGCTATTTACGATAAGGAAGCACAGGCCAGAGCGAAGGCGATGGAGCAGACGCGCAAGGCCAAAGCCGAGAAAAAGGCCCAGATTGAGCAGGCCAAAGTTCTCCGTTACGCGCAGGGCTTTGGTGGACCTCGTCATGCTACTTCTGTGGCCCCTCAGGTTTCTGCCACCACCCAACCCCAGGGTGAATACCAGGTCTATCTGAATGATATCCCTTTCAGAATTGCAAAAGGCGGCAGTAAACTGGTTCGCGTATCTGGTGGGAACCCCTTCTGTGCTGTCGCGGTCAGAAGGACTGGCTTACCTGTAGTAGACGACCCGAATACTGCCAACATCACACCAAAGAAAGTAACGGTTGCTGGTGTGACTTTCGTCAGGAGCAAGAACGGAAACCTTCATCGACTCGGAGCGGTGACCTCGAGAAGGTGATGTTTGCGATATCTTTCAAGAGCGTTCAGAACTCACAGTGATCACAGAAAACCGACGGCAGTCAAGAAGAGAAACGAGCTCTGCAAACGATTTACTTCGACGGGTACCAGCACTTCCCCAACCAGGCTTCCGCCCCTTTTTCTATTGATCTTCCGCAATCTTACCTTCTCTCACTTGTTCGCGGCCTATTCATTACTATTTGAGCTGTCAGGGCTGATCCGATCTCTCTACATTTAGGTGCCTGTTACAAAGGACCATCATGTCCCTTCATTCACGATCCGAACAAAGTCGCCATTTGCAAGGAATTTTTGCAGACTGGTAACTGCGCCGCTGGTCAAAATTGCGACTTATCCCATGAACCATCGCCCCACAGGTCCCCTGTTTGTGTGCATTTTCTGAGAAATCGGTGCTCGAATCCGGATTGTCGATACTCCCATGTGCGAGTGACACCTGGCGCACCCGTGTGCAGAGATTTTGCAAACCTAGGATACTGTGACAAGGGCGCTGAATGTGAGGAACGACATGTCCACGAATGCCCAGATTATGCCGCCACCGGCGTCTGCAACAAGAAACGCTGTCGTCTGCCCCATGTCGACCGGGCTGGCCAAATTCGAAAGAATGCCGCGACTAAAGCAGATGCCGTGGACGAGGAAGAGTCTGACGAGTCAAGCGAGGAAGAAGAGTATGACGCCATCGACTCGGATGACGTTGACTCTGACGACCTCGAGGATGAGCCTGAATACGTTGAAGGAGCTGACAATGGCGAGCAGGAGCTCTTCCAGCAAAATGACTTCATCCGCTTCTAAACTGTACATGCTAACACTCTCTTGCACATATGCGCAAAATTCGTAAATGAGGACTCGTTGATTCGCACTGAGCGACTCACGGTGGGGGGGAGTGATCCCACCTTATCGATCAACGTAATTGGTTTGGACATTTGTGCTTCTCATTATGGCTCATGAAGGGTCTTGTTCAACGGGCGGAAGACGATACCCCTTAGTATAGCTTCATTGGTTTTCACAATTCAGGACGACGTTGACCGGCGGCCTTGCCTTTGCGATTACTTGTTAGTTCGAGTGGGAGGATACTTGTGGTTTGATACATGGTTACAGTAGATAGCCAACAATGGAATGGTTGCTCGTTCTTGGCTACATGTAGTGCTTCCGACATCTTCTCTTAAAGGAGTTCCATAAGAACCATCAAAGCAAATTCGAATGCTAGGCCCTTTGTGCGATCATCTGAAGGGATCGCCTTGCCCTCCCCAGACTCTTGGGGAAACTACTACTATCCCTCTTCGTCCCCCAGATATTCGCAAAGGTGTGAGTCATAAGACTGATAGCGACAGTAACAGAGTCAGGTACCCAACTCACATAAGTGGGTAAAACCATATCATGGAAACAGAGCTGCAGGTATGGAATAAATGAGAAACCCAACCACTCTATAGCCCCCACAGCCATCACAGATCCGCGATGGATCTGCCTACATTTGTGCCTGAACAAGCAGCCAATTCCGTCTCTGACGCTGAAAACTGACAGACTCTCAAGGAGACCCACTGAAGATACGGAGTTGTGAGTACAGGCAATTTCTTGACAATCAACGTCATATTGTCGTTTTAATATTACACGCACAGGCCGACCACGCTGCACAGGGTTCCATATGCTATACCAGGCCATGCCTTGCCATTCCGGGACTAGGAGTTGCCCTGAGACCTTTCTGTACCTGAGTATGCAGTGTTACTGAATCTCGTTTGTATTATGTGCTGTACATATGGAGTAGTCTACAGGTTGTGATGGTGGTTAATAGGGGGTCTCTCTGCTACACCGATCTTTCGGCGGGTACTCTGTACTGTGAGAGAAAGAGGAGTTTGACTCGTCGCATAGCTGCGTTGACCGCCAAAGACGGAGATTGGTAGCTGGACTGATGTGGTTCCCTTTGTATATGGTAAAATGACCGAGAGTCGATTCTGATTCTGATTCTGATTGTGGTGATGCGCAGAGCAGTGAGAAATAGAATGGAGGAGCTACCGGCCCTGAGATTGGGAACGTGCATCACGTTTGATTTTACAGGTGAAGAATATGGCACTACCAAGGCGCAGGTGATAACATAAGAATCCAGCATTGCATGGATGGATGGTATTGTTGGCACCTGGAGTCTTGAGAGCTACTCCCCAGGGAAGCGATGTCCATATGCTTAGGTGATGGAATCGCGCCGTCGCACCGCAGCTAAGGAAAATTGTGAGTATCGTTCCGGAAGCTGCTCTTGAAGAATGCAATAGCCAGCATCCCCTAGGCCAATTTCAGGCCAATGGGGACTCAAGATACCACAATTAGTATGATATCTTCGGCTCAAGCTGGGACATAAACCTGGCTCGATACGGTGATGAGGGTCCGAAAGAACCTCAGTAGTCTTCGAACTTGGAGTCAGATGATGAGCTCGAGATGCATCTCATTGAATGTCCAGCTTAGGTGTATATGGATTTCATTTTCCATGGCGAGCAGTGTTGAAAACGCACTTCGTTGAGTACGAACATAGACCGGAAGGTCCATGAGATTTGTCATTCTCTCGCCTCACTTCGCCAAGGTAGAAAAGTGCAAGGGCGAAATGAAACTGTGGTTAATTGACAGGAGTAATCTAACGAGATGTGTCTTGGCTAAGATGCCCTGACATTCATAATATGACTGAACGGTCAAAGACGAAACAGGACTACGTTGGCAGTAGTATATTCAGACTTACTATGTATGATACTACTTCATACTACTAGCCTTAAAGAGATAACTGCATGATCCTGTGAAATCAATTCACCTTGTGTGTGCTTCATAGCAAATTGGGGATCTCCACCAAATCTTCTTCCTGCTCTATAATTGGATCGATCCTGCATGTACACCGCCAGAAGGGCGACATACGCGCTCGTCATCGCCGACAAGCCGCAAGAAGGTCATATCCGGCGTTATCTCAATTTCCTGTATGGGAAGGAAGACGAGGGCTTTTTGAGAAAGAGATTGAGATCTTGAATTGTCAGGTGCTGTAGGGTTTCATGTGTTGAACTTCAATGGGTGGGAAGATCCGTCGGATTTGACTCCACCCGCGTTTCTCAGGCTCCCTGAGCAGTTGATGAAGTAAACCTTTCAGGCTAGGATTTGGATCTGATTGCTCGATTGTATCAGAGAGCCTGAGACTCGCTGTTTCAACCTTCATGTGTCTGTTGTCTTCATTATAGCCTTTCTCTCTCAATTGTAGCACGTGGAAGGTACTTCAGCCTTATTTTGGGGCCAATCTTCATGGACAGCGTGTATTCAGGGCCTCTAGTAGCTCTCTGTCAAGGCGTCATTTTGTCGATTCCATGCCAGCGACAGGAAAAGCGTCGCATTGACCAAGAATAGTGGACTTGCGCATCTATCTACTCCACGATGTTCACAATCGCGTCACCTGGTCTTCCCCATAGCTTCAAGCATCATGTATCATACCTGAAACAGCAGCTAGCTGTTATGCTTCCGTATTCGGAAATGGAGGAGAAGACGGTGCTTCGAAAGGAGTGAGTCACACTTGCTCTTTTGGGCTGTGGAGTCCCTGATTCTTTTCCATCCCATTGATATGGAGACGCATGCTGTCATGCTATACGCCAATAGGCTGAAAGTCGGGCTGATGGAATAGGGTTGCTGGCAGAAAGTGGGCCTCGACACCGCTACCCGTGGACAATTCCTGGGTGCCAGTGCTGAAGTGGATGTAGGTGGGTTCATGTTCCTCTCAAATGGTCCCTGAGAGGTGAGAATTTAGAGAGACTTGATTTCATGGCGATTTGGCCAAACTCTTCCTAGGTCAGCATGATTGTGGTATACCAGACCCGATTAGACATTCTATCACAATGCCAGTCGAGGGCTTATGGATGTATGCACAGGACTTGTGTTCTTGAGAAGCCCAAGTGCCAGTAAAGAGCCATGAAAACGACTAGATAGTGTCACGAGCCATATACTGGCAACGAATGTATTGCAGGTCCGGGTCCGATCACCAGTTGCAGGCGGGATCTGCAGGACATACAGTAAGGGCATATTTGCGACCCATAACGGAGTAGATAGAAACTGTCCCTATGAGAGAGTTTTGCGAGATTGTTAGAATGAATGAAACAAGCTGATGATTAGCTTTTCGGCCCCTCGTCTACAGTCAGGTTAGCCAAGTGGTTCGAGAGAACGGACGGGGAACTACCCTTCGACCCAAAGCTCGCCTTATTTCTGCATGAGAACCAGATTGACGGAACTTGTGGTAGTTTAGGGAAGCCCCTCCTAAAGGCATTGTGACGTGAATTTCCCGAATTCCACGCAGCAAAGCAATGGTGCCTTATTCAAGTTAGATTTCAGCCGGACAAAGTATGTTCAATCGGTCAGTCAGGGCCATTTTTAACTAATGCTCATCCATGCTAATGTGGATGTGGACAGACTCAGGAAAGGAGTCAGCTGCTACGAGGAAAGAAACTCTGGAGGGCCGTTCATGTAGGCCTTCGGCGGCCAGCCAGACTAACAAGATACGAGGTAAGAAAAGTAATCATACAGAATCACATAGTTAGTTATTATGAGCTTGCTTACGCAAGATGCACAAAAGCAGTGCTAGGATTGAGCATGATCATAGGTGGGTATAATAATAATGGCAAAGTCTGTGCTGCCAATAGAGAGAGGATCGAATCCGATCTGTCTGTGCTTTCCTGCTGCCGCTCTGCTTCCGCGGGTGGCCATCTTCCAGTGGAAAAAGCATGGGCAGGTTGCAGTGACACACAGACAGACAAGGACCATCATTGCGGACTAACCAGAAAGGATCAAAAGAGCATTTGAGTGGACCGTGGAATGAAATTGGGATCAATGGAACCTACCTGCGGGCCGGCCCTACATACTGTTCCAGAATTGGGAAGGTCACCGTCTGTGTAACTACGCACTATGGCATCAAGTATGGCCTTCGTGAGTGTAAGACTGTAAATGCCTCTATTCCAATAATAACTCACACCCGAATTGATTCCCGAAATGAAGTTGTTGAAGCGAGCAATGAGCTCAACGGACCAGACAGCTGAAGGAGGGTCAACGAGGAACAGCTCAAAGGGTACTTTTGACACAGTGTTGACATTCTACCCAAATCCTTGGGGAACAGGAACCGAGGGAGCTGCAAACAGGGCCACCTTAGTTTCAATAATATTCACTTCCTCAAGGTCCGGGAGGACGTCACACTGCTTGTCGAACGATTGGCCCTGCCGCTCTGAAATGAGGAAATCATGATACTGCCTTGTATGACATTCTGTTCATCTGATCAGTGCCTTGTCCCAGGATTCCTTTCCTATCTTGGCATAGATCCGAGTCTAGAGCGGTACGGTACTGTATAATTACTGGACTGGATTGATTGTGATCAATCATCCCAGAGTACGATAGGTATTACCAGGTATCCACATACTTGATGCTTCCAGAGCAGCCGATCATGGTAGCGGTGGGCGATTCAAACAATCGTTGGTTAGTAAATTATGAGCGCACAGACAATCAGCTGTCTTTGGGCATCATCCAAGATTCAGGGCCGATGGGCCCAAGACGGCAATATTCTCTGACTCTGTTTGGCGACTCGCGACGTACCTATGAGTTTTCTCCAATTTCTGTCAAAAGAACGAACATTTGGGTTGTTTGATGGAATCTATGAAAAGGTCACCATAGCAGACAGTCCCTGAATTGTTTGAGAGACGGAAATGAAAGTGGGGATGGAGATCATCGGCTGTTTTCGCTATACACGATAATGTAATGTTGATAGGCTATCGATAAGCAAGAACTAAAAAGCATTGACCCCACTCAGATACGCAGTTCAGATGAGATACACTCAGTCAGTAGGTACATGTACATGGGACCTGGGTACCGTACATGTCAGTAGTTTATGGCTTCTGGGATCTAGACAACATTCATAACATATAACAAAATTCATCACGCCTTCTTCTTCTACTTCCGTAAAGTACGTAGGCTGTATGTTTAATTCAGAGGTACATTATGTGCTCAGACAGACATGTACTGCTTGGTCATTTGGTGGGGTGATCATCACTATTGATACCTTCAATTTCTTCTCAACGATGGTTCTAATAGTAAGGTACTACTCATCCAGGTAGTGTTAATTTGAAGTGCAGATAGTCCTTTGACTGGACAACCTTGCGAACTATAAGTTTAGGCCCCCATCAGTTTATGATTACAATAGGAGAAGAGTGAGTATGATTACCCACCTTGTATGATATCTGATAAACAGTAGTGAGCAAAGAAAAGCAAAAGCACGTTCTCAGACACTAGAACAAACTGGGAGGCCTCTTTCTCAAGCTGGGATAGTCGCAAGGATCTGATTATTCATCCCATAGCGATGCCGGATTTTCCCCCTGCCATCTGCACGTCTGCCCAAATGCGCACGAAGCATCCAATAGCCGAAGCTCGTTAAACTCGGGAACGGTCAGAATTCGTTTTGCTTGTCTTAGACTTTTCCCGCTGACCGCCGGATTTCTCTGGTGCTTGGTTCCTATGGGATTAGGATCACGAAGAGGAAGCGTTCCGTAGGAGTGTTTGGATGTGGTGCAAGTAGTATTGAACTCCGTAGTTAGGCAGGTGTGGGATCTATTCAGTAATTGTTGATGCCCCCATAACTAATATTATTATAGATTGTTTTAACTTGACTTTGCTTATGTCTGATATATTTTTCTTTTTTTTTATGATACTATACTATACTATTCTAGTCTTTATTTGGATTTATCTATGATAATCTGATCCCAATCTACCATCACCATCGGCCATCACAGGGTTACTCATCGTATCAGCTCAACGACCAGGGAAGGATATATGGACTTCTCCCCTCCCTCGTCACTTGCCTTTGTCCCATCATACAACATCAATTAGCCTCAAAGTCTCATCTCGAAAGAGGTTCTTCTTGTGATCACAAGAGACCTCTTATCCTCATCATTCATCTTCTTCGTCTTTGTCTTCTCCTTCTCCTTCCATATCTCCAAACGATTATCCTTTACTTCCTTTCCTATACACATATATACCCTTTTCAGGTCATCACGACTTCTCTTCGACTACCCTCCTTACCTCCAACGACTTTACCTTCGTCTCACTGTCGTCATCGGTTACACTTGATCCTATTGTCGACCCTTTGTCTCTTGCCTTCGTCCTCTCATCTATCACCAAAGCCCCGCACCTCGACTTGTTTTATTTTCCATACATCAAGTTTACACACCGCCTCTTGATTGCCCTCAATCTACGAATTGCTATCACTCCTCTGACGACCTTTTGCATATACTTTCTCTGCAGAATTTGAGTATACGCACAGTTATCTGCAGACATGGCGAGATATTCTCAACCACCTTTCGACTTTTACCACCAGTCCACATCAACTATGGGGACGAAACCCTCATATCCGGAAGAGGACGAGATGAGTGTATTAGATGACAAGATCCTGGACTCTACTTCCCCCGAACTGTCTACCATTCCCGACCACCGACGTCCTTCATGTGATCATGCGCCAGATGCGTATTCGCATCGGGAATCTGTCTGGTCGGACTTTTCGCAACCAGTCTCCAGCGGCCAGTCGCGCCACAATTCTCAAGTCGGCCATGGTCTTTATGATCCCAACCCCAATCCTTTCATGCGGGTCGATGGTGCTCACCCTGCCTCAGCCTATGGTCATCAGGCATCCTGGTCCTTGTCCAGGGATTCCGGCTCATGTACCCCAACTGCCATGTACGAGAACTTCCACCCAGATCTGGAGAACAATTCCTCTGCCCCCTTCTCCGGCGGCGCCGTGGGACCAGTGAGCGCCATCAATATTGCGTCCATGTCGTATCGACCAGGTATGGGCTTTGCGCCTCCAGGCGCTATAGCTATGTCCCCACAGTCCAGTCAGGGCTGGATGCCTGCATCGACGGATATGCCCGATGCGATCTCGCGCCCCACAAAGAGCCCGACCTATCGCAACAGCTCGCCGTTGAGTGTTCGGCGGGATGGTATTCGGAAGAAGAACGCCCGCTTCGAGATCCCTGCTGAGCGAACATTGAGCAATATCGACCAGCTGATCAATCAATCGACGAACGAGGAAGAGATCAAGGAACTGAAGCAGCAGAAGCGTCTGCTCCGAAACCGTCAAGCGGCGTAAGTGCCCTCAAATGTCTCGTTGGACATATTCCTATCCTTGTTTCGTTTTGTTTGGTTCTGCTAACACCGCGCGGAATTCTAGATTGGATTCGCGTCAACGGAAAAAGCTCCACACCGAAAAACTTGAGGAGGAAAAGAAACATTTCACTCAGGTTATCAGTGAACTTGAAGAAGCGTTGCAAAATATGAAGCTGCGTGAGGCTGAGCTCCTCCGTGAAAAGAGCGAGTGGATGGCAGCCCAGCAGCAGATCAACCAGTACATCGAAGGCCTGCACATGGATAAGGATGAGATGCTTCGCGTGCACACTCTGGAGACGGCTGAGCTTCGAAAGAAGAACAATATTCTCAAAGAGACAGTGGAGAAGCTCGAGAGACAGATGAGATCATCAGCTACCACTAATCTCAACACCGACTTCTCTGACTTTGAGAATTTGACCATGGACAATGCGCCTTGGGAAGACTTTACCATGTCCAACGGTCTTCCTCTCGAGGCGGAGGCGACTCCTGCCACTTCCACGATGCAATCATCAGCAATGGTGATGTCTACGAACGATAGGGTCACCGAAAAGAGTACCACAGCCAGTGACTACCCTTTCAGCTGGAATGCCTTCTACATGTGTCTGCTCTTTGGCGCGTTCCTTGCTTCAAACGGCCCATCGCTCTCCTCACGTTCTATTCCGCAGTTGTCGGAGGAGTACCGCGCTGAGTCTGCCAACGTCCTGAAGGCTGTTCTCGCCGCCTCTCCGCCAGAGCTCGCACATGTGAACACTCAACAAGCGGTGGCCTCCTCCTCTGCTGTTCCAATGCCAACGACCATCAGCGGAGCGGAGATGGCTCAAATGGCTACCGGTACTGCTCACTCCAATCTCGACGAGCTTCACAGCACCCTCGCGATGCCGACCAAGGAACAGGAGCGAGAGCAGGTCTTCTCGCTCAATGCTGAACAATACAATGCCTTGACCACATTCGACGAGACTCATGTCGACTACAAGTCTCAGCCCTCTAATCTGCAGCAGGCTTTGGCCGCGATGCGGAACAATGCCGCTCTAAATAAACTGCCGAACAAGGCTACATCCGACGTATACACCAGATCGTTGATGTGGGATCGCGTTCCCCAGAAGGTGATTCGCGACTTTCAACGCATGGTTCAGGAATATGGCGCTTCCCCCATCAAAGAGGAGCAGTCCGGCTTCGGTCAGACCTGAATAGTATAACCGACAGATTGTTCGTCACAGCGTACTTTAGTCATGTCGTCTCGTTTTCCAGCGGCATTTTTCAGCCAAAGTCACCTTACCCAGCTTGCCTGCCCCTCATCGAAGCAATTTGCACAAATTTTTCGTTCTAACGCTTCTCTTCTCGCCTTCATCAACGATTTTCCTTTTTCCAGCGAAACATTTTCTAGCGCCTTACGCTGTCGAGCTACGCGACTCTCTTTTGGCCAGATTTAGCCAGACTTAGCTGTATGCATGCATAGACAGCACCATCAACTCTTCTTTCTACTGGATCTACTCTACAATATAGCCACTGTTCGACTTGATCTGACGAATTAGCGATGTTTTTTTTTTTTTTTTTCGGTTGCGTCGGCGTACGTTCGGTTCTCCTTTGTCGTGCATCGGGCTTGGGAATGGCTTTCTACGAGCATTCAAGACACTTGCATCTGTACTTTTTTGTTTTTCTCTGTCCCTATTTCCCTCAAGGTTTGGCATGTTAGGTTTGGGTGGGCTTCACGGCTTTGAAAACAGACACAGGCACAACAGGACAGAGCGTGTTTGTCGAGCGATCGGCAGGAACCTTCCATTCTCAATTTGTATTCGGGTTTGCGTTTCTACGTTCTTCATTTTGCGCGGGAATCTATTGCATTTGATTGTGGACATGACTGAGCGAGGGCGGCCATCCTGTTACGACTGTTATGATACGATGTATATGACTGAAGCGTGTGTTACTCTTTGTTATCATCTCGATGTTACTGTTTACCTGATTTTGATCTGGACAGCCGGGCTGCCATTGCAGGTGGTCATTTGAGCGTTTTTACTGTCTTTCTGCTGCAGGCGCCTTTCCAACTGGAAGTGGCCTGATTTTCTTCTTTCATATACTCTTATGACCTGGTCATTCCACCTGGTCCTGATATTGTATACGGAAGATTGCATGATCGATGTTCATGCACTTCCTTTTCTTGGGCTCTCGTTCGTGCCTGGCCACTCTCTTTTCCTGACGATTTTACTTTGTTGGACGTGAAGTTATACGATGCCATGTTACTGTACATATTAATGCTACGGGCAGATGCCCTCAAATCTCTGTCATGAAACGACTTGATGATGTGAATGCTTGAATTATGCTGCATCCTGGACGTAGACATCTAATCCCTCAGTGGCGTAGTTGCGAATCGTCCCTTGATCGTTGTATACTTGCCAGCTCGAGATATGGGCGGCAGCGCCCCGATCCTCGGATACTGCTCAGCCTCCGCTCAGATTAAAAATAGCGAGCGTAGCAGGCTGCAACATAAATCAAGGTACAATACGGGAGACTGGACATCAACCTTCTTACCAGTAGGTGCCTAGTCAGCTAGCATCGAGAAAACCAATCTCCTTGGCTTCCAATGAAAGCCACCAGGGCACAGCAGATGTGAATACTACGGAAGGAGCACAGAGTAGTCTAGATAGCGTACGGTCGTGAAAACAAAGTACATGTGCAGCGATCGGGCTGCAGTGCAAAGATGAGGCTGCATTGGGCCATCCATGCATCGGCCACTGAAGGATCACAGATCATATTTCGTTTGTATTACCAAGTATACAATAATAAATGCAGTATGCAGGTTATGCGTCTCGTAAGGCAGCCCTATACACGGATGCCAAGATGAAACTGAAGCAAATAATCCCAAGGCGAGCACCAACGAACGGAGGTGAGCGAGTATCTGAGGATTTCTGCCGGCCAGGGCCTGCAAGGGGGGGTATCATTCGGCGGGTGTGCGTGCCAAGTCGTGCTCGCTGTGCTGTGTGGATCTCGTTCATTTGGGGTTATATTTCTCTTTCCAGATCCTGTCATGAGAAGCATGTGGGTGTCAGCTGTCGGCCAGATGATTGATGGGGTCTAGATGGTTAATTGGAGTTGGTGTGGGCGATGCTGTGGTTGGCTGCGACTGTGACGGCGGCTCGCATAGCGCAGCTTGCCAAAGACACGACGAGAGCCTATCGCTCCAACCAAATCCCCGACCTCTCGGACATGACCCTGAGTGGTAATGCGAAGTCGCAGGTTTTTGGCTAAAGACAATTGACTTCGTCACACTCGGTGGAAGCGATTCAATGAAAATAGTAGGAAACGGAGGGGAAGGTAAGGGGTGCTAAATGCCAGAAAGGGGGTGTTGGAGATAATTGGCAATAAGCAATAACACGTACCAGGAGTTTCCTACTATTTTGTTTCCTTTCTCTTCGGCCAGTCGATAATATTTGGCAGCCTTGAACTAAGCGTTGAGCATCGCGAGTCAGCAGAGCCTTAACAAGAGACCAAAAGTACATGAACCCAAGTGATATTTTCAAGCTTCAAAAGAAAGCATGAATGCCCGAGGAGAACAAATTGAACTAGGGGTTCAAGACTCAAATCACAGAGATCTCCCGAGCGGGCTGTTGGGAGTCCAGTAATAGCGTACCTTGTCCTTCTTGCCCCCAAATCCTTCAAGATAGCACCATGCGACTTCGTTCATCGCATCTGTATCACCCAGATTGGCGGCTGTCTCAAAGTACTGTCGGGCAGCTACCGGATTTTTTTTGACGCCCCAGCCATTACGATAGCAATTTCCCAGTTCGAAAATGGCCAGTACGAGCTCTCCTTTGGCAGCGCCTCCCTTTTTCATACCTGCCTGGAGTGCTTGAGACTCTATTGAGGCGGAATTCGCTGCTGCGGCTGAGAGATATGTCACAGCCTTGTCGGGATCTTGAGGGCAGCCCCAACCATGCCTGGGAGAGCGACTCTAAAGTTAGACACTCTTCTGGATCAAGTAGACAAGTAGGCCTCTGTAATTCTCCAAACTAAGGAAGGCATTGCGCAAGCGATATGGACAAGAGGGGTGGGTTGTCAAAGTTCGTACCTCAGTGCAAGTCCATAGAGCACTTGACTCAAAGCGTTGTTCGCACCATCCGGATCTGCTAGTTGACGGAACATTTCTGTGGACCTTTCAAGCTCTGTATAAGGAGATCATTAGTACGGACCCAAGTGAGGTGCTAGGACCAGGGACTCGCCGCCAGCCTCGTGAAGACGGATCGCCTCTTGAATATTGACCTAAGCCCACCATTAGACACTGGCTGATGCACTAAATGCGTTTCAACCGAGAACTGGAACTTACATCGCCTTCTGGATCATTGATCCGACTATGACTGGAACTCCTTGGCCGCGCTCCTCCAGCGCTACTCGTCTCAAGCCTGTTCGGCGAAGAACGAAGAGATGCTGCTGGCGATCCCGAAAGCGGGCTCTGTTGTGCCAGAATCGTCGCGCGCTTCTCCCATTGTGCTTCCCTTTCTTGCTCGTCGACTTTATCGTCCGGAATCTGCGGAAGATCCGACGGGACATTGATCGAGCTCGAGCTAGCACTCCGTGAGCCCCGATCGCGATGCAGCAGTTGCGATAGCCGGTGTTCCCCACGCGGTCGACTCGGCGAAGCTGGCTCTGAAGAATCGGACGGGGACCTCGAGCGGCTGAATATGTTCAATGATCTTCGATGCGTCGAGGAAGATGGTCGCGATGGTTCTAGGAGATCCGATTGAACATGGTCGCCGCGGTCGTCACTGACGTCACCGCCAATGCTCGGCGGGTTGATAACCTCATGAGAAAGTGTATCGGATCGAATGAATTTGATCTCAGGAACAGCATTTGAGGGTACGTTCGGCGGATACTGACTCCCAGAGTCGTTGATCCTGTCCTTCTTGTGAAGGATATCGCGCAGAGGCATCTTGCGGCGGGCTTATCGTGGAGAGGTGTTTTGCGGGGCGGATACCCGGCAATTTACCGAGGGGGTCGTTTGTGTGTCTGTCGCACGATGAAAAGAGCCGTTTGTATGAGACAGGGTATATTGGAATTATCGAGCTTCATATATTCTCAAGGCAAAATTATATTCCAGCCTTGTGTTCTGTATGTGGCACGAGGCTGGGACGTGGCTGTGTTAGTTGTGCTTTGTGCTGTATTTTCTTAAATATCATCACGAATCGCTTGGGATAATTAATTATACTGGTGTGCCTGAGTCGTTCCGTGGTTAGTCGATAGTCAGCTGTCTTGGCTCTTGGACCACTGTTTGGCTTCATCATTCATGTCACGATATAGTATGGTTTATATTTTTTGCATTTGGGATCGTTTCTCAGTCCTAGTCGTCCGAATTTATGGCTGACTGTTTCTCTTGTGTAAATTGTGATTCTCTGTTGGTTTAGACCGTCTTGCGACAAGTTTAAAGTGCGTACGCTGAAGCCGCACAAGGGACGAGACATATCTACCAGGAAATGGAAAGTCTCTTGCAGGAGGAAATGCATAATTATGATTCTAAGCGATATGCACTACAGAAGATTGCAGAGTGCGCTCGATTAGCCGGACCTACTGGGAGATAGTACGTCTTGGTACAGAGAGGAGACGTAGTGCACCTATCTGGGAGACCCAGGGATTTAGGTAGCATAACTACACATCAGTGGTTTCAGTATCTGAATGCCGGATGCACCGAGTGATCAGTGATCAGACGGAGATGGAAAGGCGTTTAGACAGCGGGTGCCGCGCGTGGATAGGGCAAAAACTGGTATTGATATGTCTAATGGAGCACAAAAGTAAAATGGTCAATGATTTTATACATGATGCTAATAACGAGGCTATTCATGTAGAGTCCATTTACTGGGCCTTAGCGGACATGATGCCTGGTTTATATGGTAAGCTTACGATGGACCAGATAGTTTCGGGGGCGAATGAGACTTACGCTCGACATCAGCAATGCTCTGCTGAAGGATCTGCTGGAGGACCTTGGGGTTCTCAAGCTCCTTCTGGATCTTGCCAATAACCGATTCAGCGAGCTCACGCTGCTGGCGCTGCTTGACCTGGCTCTCGTAGCGAACCCACGAGTCAAGGACGGACTTGGCCTCAGCGGCCAGAGCGGTGCGCTGCTCGAGCTCATAAGCCTGAGCCTCAAGTTGGGCGGTTTCCTTCGACGACGTATCAGCGCAAACCATTTCTGGCTAGATAT